CTCATTCTGACGGCACCCATTCACTGCAGAGACACTGATGCAATGCTACATTTCTCCAAATCTGATGAAGAAACAAACTCATCCTAATCTGATCTGAGGGTTGAATACATTTTCAGCAAATTTTAGTTTTTGGCCGAACTATCCCTTTAAATAAACCTGTGTGTGTGTGTGTGTGTGTGTGTGTGTGTGTGTGTGTGTGTGTGTGTGTGTGTGTGTGTGTGTGTGTGTGTGTGTGTGTGTGTGTGTGTGTGTGTGTGTGTCTGTGTGTGTGTCTGTGTGTGTGTGTGTGTGTGTGTGTGTGTGATGTTTGTAGATCAGAGCAGAGAAGGTCCTTCATCTCCTGTGAATAATCAGAACATGACGCTGCTGCTCCAGTGTCCAGCCGTGAAGTTTGTGACGCACCCAGAATTCTTCTCTGTCCTCCACGCTAACTACGTAAGTCAAAACGACAAGCTTCAAATGTGAGTTTTCATGTGTATTCTAGTAAATTCTGTGTTTTGTCTTGAAGAAAGAAGATTCAAACCATTTGTAGCCAGCGCACTGAAAGTGACTTGGTTTGCTTCAGTGTATGCAGACACAGGAGCGCTGCGCTAGATTGCTCTTTAGCTGAAGGGTGATATTGATTGAGCTATTTGCAGATTCCCTCTTTATTGATCCCATTAGCTCTGCAACAGATAACAGACATTAACAAGTCCAAGATAAAGCGTGCTGAGACCCAAGTGGATCTGTGGGAGAGTACACTCTTGAACACAAAATATCATCACATCCGATGATAGCACCAGTCTTCTCTGATTTCCAATCATTTAATGCTCTTAAAGAGATAGTTCACCTTCAGTTGCTGGTCCCCATTGACTTGCATAGTGATTTTTTTCGTACTAGTCAGAGGTGACCAGCAACTAAAGGTGAACTATCCCTTTAAACGTTGTCCCTGCAAGCTCTTTTAAGAGCCACACCCACATCTCAACATCCAATCAACAACTGAAAAACAGAACCAAGTCCCGCCCTACAGTTTTTTTTTTTTGATAATCCATAACAAACAGATGTGCAGTATGTCCAAATACAGAAGAAAAGATCTACTGCTACTTCTGTTTCATCACCATTTTAATAACATAAGAATCAAGTTGATTAGATTACTGCCCAAAATAATAAAGCATAATAAAAATAATAATTTATTTTAAGTATTTTATATCTATCTATCTATCTATCTATCTATCTATCTATCTATCTATCTATCTATCTATCTATCTATCTATCTATCTATCTATCTATCTATCTAT